AAAACAAAGTGAATGCCAGTCAAAAACAAAGTGCAGCGAGCTGAAGCTGGAGAATGGAGAAGTGTAATTAAAAAATGGCAAATGGCCGATAACTGGCACAAGGTCAGGCAATCGACGCTAATGGAACGCTGAAATATTGAAACACAATTGAAAATAATTAAAACTTAAAGCAGCAAGAGGCGCCTAACTAGTTAAGCATTCGTGTTGCGAATCAGAAATAACATAAATATGCAATTAAGTGGAAAAACGTTCTCGCCATTTCATATTTTGCTAAACTTCATTCACGAGTTAAACAACGTTTGCACTTGTAGCTCGTAGCTGGCGGCATTAAATATTAAACATTACCCAAGCATTAAACAAGTGCGCTGAAATATAAATACAAAATCAATTTTCAACGCCAACTCTCCCCGGATGGCAGACAGCCCGAGCCACCCACGCGCCGTCAGCTTGAACAGGTGCAAGTGCCGAATACCCTGGAATGCGAGCAAACAACCTGCAGAGCGCTCTGTGACTGGGCCGTGCTGAAGGTATTAACAGTATTAGCAGCTACGACTCGCAGCTACATAAAAATTTACATCAAAGTGAATGAGCCAGGAGGCGGGTGGCTCATCAGCCGACTCCTGTAGGTCGATCACGCCCACTGAAAGAAGCAGAGCATGCCCAGCTGCATGTTTGTATTTGGACTATACGCTGACTAGCGCTGTTAACATTATTTGCAGCAAACAAAAGTTGACTGTTGGGTGTTTGGGTTCTTGAATGCTTGGGCAACGTTGCTCTCCGAACGAAAATCAACTTCTGCAGCTGACTTTTTAAACAAAAAGTTTTGCTTAGAGCTTGTAAACGCGGTCGAGCGCCAGTTGGCTCAAAGGGGCTTGAGTGGAGAGTGAAAGCTGGCACAGGGGTTGAGTGGCGGCTGTAAATCTGAAATGAAAATAAATAATTTACACCTGCAGCTATCTTATGAGCGCCAGACATCTGCCGCTTCTTCTTCTTCTTCTGCTTCTGCTTCTTTGGGCCATGCTAACCAATAGTGGACAGAACATGGCTGAAAAGTTGCAGCTTCAAGAATTGTGGCTTTAAAGGCAACGAGCAAGAGGAACAGAGCAAATATCCTGGCGAAGGCGCAGAGGTGGCACAATTGATCCGTTGAGGGCGAAGGTAAGAGAATATGCTGGCGGCGTGCCAAACAATGCCCGAAGCCAAAAAGTTTTATTTTCTAAGAAATTAAGACTTAATTGGTGAAAGCAGCAACAACAGCACCAACTTTGGCAACAACAAAAGCAACGGCACACAATAAAAACGACAACGAAGACAACGTGACTGGGGGGAGTGGGAGTGGCCTGTAAAAACCAACATCAATGAAAAGTTTAAGCAAAACAATGGCAGAGAAGTAAACAAAGCCTATGAATGTTGCGTAGTGCTTTCGAGCAGCCGAGAGGCCAGCCAGCCAGTATGTGCTCCAAGGCTCCAGCGAATACACTTGCGAGGCTCAGTATAAGCCCTATTTGGAAGTAGACAATAGGTTTTATTACGCATACGCCATGTTAAACAGCAATATTGATAACCCACGCTAGCCAGCTCAAAAGCTGCAAGCAATTGAACCAAAGGAGCTTACGAACCATTCTATCCTATATAAGTAATCGATATATGGAGAGAATTTCCATGTAACAAGTCGAATACATAATAAGCCTTCTGCCTGTTGCACAGGGCTATAAAAATCCTTTCGCCCGCTTCAACAATTGCGCATAAAAGCGAGTGACACTAAAACTGCAAACATGACCAATTAGAAACATTCATTCATTTATTAAAAAAAAAAGACTAAAATCTAAATTCAGAATTAGAAATAATCTAAAAAAAGATTCACAAAAAACTCGTAAAAAGGAGACAGCAACAAAAAAATAAATAAATATAAATAAACAAGAATCATTTAAATTATTCAATAAACACGAGCATAATGAGAGCAAGAATTCAGCTTTAAAGAGAACTCAGCAAGCAGAGCGACTTATCGACACGCTGGAAAAGTTTTAATGGGTTACGCAACCTTATCAACTTAGGACCCAATGGGAGCTTGCCTTCCAGGCACAGGATTCACAGCCGAAAATTCACGACTGTAATAAGCTTATCTCACAACAATATTACATTATTACAAATTTGTTAATAAATATATTA